TCAGGGAAATGGTCTCCCATCTGACAGTGCACCCCATAACCTCTCAGCCAGAGGTGTAGACACTCGGTTATACTTTCTGAACACCATGAAGGAAAGGCAGTGTACGACAGCGTCACCAGTAGGGCATGAGGTCTAGCACAGAAGACAGAAAGCTCCATCCAGTGTGCTCTCTGCCACACCTTTCCTATCAGATACAACTGCTCTCACACCCGGCAACAACATGCTCTTCAAAGGTTCATTCCTGCCTTCCTAACAGACCAGGACTCCACCACCCTTAGACTGGGGTACCCTATTAGCTATGCAGGTGATGCCCAAACCTTAGTCAGCTATAGAATTAAATTATTAAACTTTGTATTTTAACATTGTCTCCTGCTCTTTGGACAGAGCAAGACCGTTGAGGTTCCTGGCCTGATTTACATGTTGGCCTGTTACAGAGCTCAGTGCGGGGCACACACACATACACAGGTCACTCGATTTAGATATCAGCACATCCAGGCATGTCAATGCAGGTGGAAATCCCTTCCCAACCTCTTCAGCTACGCAGGTGGCTGCACACTCATCTGTTGAGCAGATCTTCTCTCCAGCTAGTGCTGTTGTGACATCTACATGTGCTTTTCTTATTCTGTTTAACGAATCATCAAACACCTACTTACGTGACACAAGATTGCTGCTTGGGCATTACGGACATAAAACACATGTGAGAAAACGTTTGACTATGCAGCTTTTTTTCTGAAATCTTTTGAGGTGCCAACTCTTGTAACATTCAAAACTGTTTATTTAAGATTCAGAAAAATTCAATGACCAGCTTGTATAATCCTTTTTTTTTTTTTTCTCCAGGTTGAACACTCACTTTAAAAGAGCTTAACAGTAATCCTAAATTAGTATATCCCTTCAGTTTCCATGGCAGTTTCAGACCTTCCTTTCTACTTACCTGTAAAAATGAGATTTTACTCAGAGTACCTACTCATCAGTTCTGATACTATACATATTGTGTATATGTACATATCTTGGTATTTAAAAATTCTTTTTTTTTTTTTTTTTTTTTTACAAAAATGGATCATTATTAGGTTTAGTAGCAGTAGTGGAGGTAGTAGTATCATTATCTTCTTTCCAGGAAAAACTCATTCAACATCCTCTTGAGGCCAGCAGACAGTTCCCTCTATTCAAGTACTACTTTGAAGACCACTGGCAGAGGTCATGAGAGTCACAACATGTACTAAGTGATCTGCAGCTGGCATAGGGAAGCAAAAAGATGCTTTATGCTTCTTTGCTTCTTTTTGTTATCTTACAGGCACTAAACTAGAAACCCTTATTTTCATTAGATCTGTATTTCACACATGTGGAGATGGTAAGCACGATAAATTAGAGAACTAGGATGATTATCATTCTCTGTCATCCATACCTCTGCCCATCTAAGACTTGAAAAATTCCAAATGCCTCAATAATTTTGCAGAGATTCCCAGGGCTAGACAGACAAGACTCACTGGTCGTCTGCTTGTTTCACATGAAAAAATGTCTTTATTTTTAAGGCTGATAACCTTGAGAATCTTTTATTATCACTGACATTTCTTTCCTTTACCATCTTATCCTCCAAAAAGGGGGATGTACGAGAAGATACCTAGTTTTATTCCGATACATTATGCCCTTTTATGTGAACCAAGTTTTCGAAACGTGTTGACACAAAATTTTATAACATATAGGACTGCACTGATTCTCGTCACTATGAGCTTGAGAAAAATAATTACTGTTATATTAGGACCTTCTCCACAATCTTACTGATAGATAATAAACTTAGGTAAAAGAGCTTTCCTTCTGCCAACATCAAACCCCATGACTGTCTTGGAAAAGTCTTGGAAATGAAAGACCAATTAAAAAATGCACCTCAAAATACATACTCTCAAATGTGCTTCCTAGTTTGTTTATCAACAGGACTACATTCATGGTGGCAATCTTAGTCGTGTGGAATGGCTAATCAAAGTAGCAAGAGCATCATCCATCCCAATTTGTCATTTCGGAACTCTTGTTGTCATAACTTTGCATAAACACTAACTCTTGCCCAGGACAAGAGGCCTATCATAATGCAGAGGCTCCACTGCGCTGTTGTTACATGTAAATATACTAGTATAACCTCTGTGGGAAAAAAAAATATTCATTAGACACAATTACATAAAGTTTGGCACAAATGCTTTTTTCCCCCATGTTTTGTGTAGAGCTTCTCCATTCAGAAAAGAATTTAAGAACTAGTTTGTGATGGGACACATCATGCCACCCTTCAAGCTTACAATCATTATTTTTTTTTTTCTGTTGAATGAAAATGTGGGTAATGACAGTAAAAAGAGACCTAGAGCTGTATCGTGGTCACCCAGGAACCTGGAACCATTCCTTAGCCTAAGAGTAAAAAGTAAACGGGCACTGTATTTCAGGGTTAGATTTATCAGAAGTTCCATTTCCTTGAATAATTTTAATACCTGATATTTATGGAACCCACAAAGTGCTTCACATGGCTAAGAAAAAATATTAGTAGTGTGGAAGAAAAAATTTACCCTGATGAATTCAGTGAAATAGTACAATACTAGCATTTCCCATAAAATGCCATTAGTATCTTCGGGAAAGCAACCACAAAAAGCCTTGCAAAGATACCCTGAACAGATAGATGTTTTAATCAGTGATACAGACACATCTATATAAATTTTTTTTGTCTAAGCTCAGGTTGACTTAAAATACCCATGAAACTCTGGCATTAATAACAGCAAGAAGGCTGTGGAAATGTAGACAGTTAAAAAACTTTCTTGTTCGTTGTAAAAGTTTACAGAATTTCCTGCCCAAAATTATTTTACTAAACTTATGAGGTCATTAATCAGGTCCTTAATCTTTCACCCTCCAGCTCCTTGTGTGCTTTGTGCAGCTACAGAGCCTGAGGATTCTGGGGCTATTATAGGATTGTGAGAAACTTCCTACAGAGAACCTTGGTAAAGTCAAAAAAACAACCAAACAAAAACCCATTGGGGATTATTACACTGATGTGTAATTTAAAGATTTTTAAGGCATGGCAGTGGTAGAGCTCAACACCTCCCTCAAAATTCTGCCTATAAACTTAAGACCAGATTCTAATCTAATATCCAGTATCTACTAGCTGCACTGACATCAACTGTGTATTTCTAAGAAAATAAATAACTAACTTTTTAAGAAGTAATTTACACTTAAGTAAGTGTACAATAAATAAAAAAAGTCTCACTGAAAGGAAACATGAGACATCGCAATAAATAAATTTCATCAGGTCTGTATACGATTTCAAACTCATGTTACTTGTATACCCGCTAGTTAGAATTTAGTTCTACCTGAGTATTAAAGGTATGAGATTCTCTGCCACAAAATAAACAGTAATGTTTCTGAAAAGACCAACTACTTACGCCTCAAAACAACTGTAATTATCAAAAACTGAGGGCCAAATCCATCTGTGGTGATGTCAGCAGAATAAAGGCAGAACCTGTGGAATCATAGCTGTATGGTTTGAAACTATTTAATACAGTATTTTTATAGAAAATAGAATAGTTTTAAAATTCTATTGACATAATATACAGCTATACACCTAAGTTATCCAAAGATGTGCAGAGCTGTAAAAACATTCATATAGAAGTTGTATAAAAAGCAAAAATTATCATTAAGAAAAGGCATGTGGCCATTTGTACAAAATCATGTTCTTTCCCTCCAATTTACTCTTCCTTAGTTTTCTTTGTAAGTTAAAATTAAAAATTAGTCAACACACTGAATTAAGTATGTAGATTTTCATTTAAATAAATCAGTCAACAATTTTTTTATAAAGTATTTAACACTTCATTGTAGAAACATAGGCAAAATGACTATTATAACCAAAATGAAAAATACTGTTCAATTTAAAAAAATGTACTTAAACAAGAACCTGAAAAAGTTTATGATATGCATAACATTGTTCAAGCAAAATTGCACTAGTATTACATAAATCAAGAGTTTTATAAAGGCCCCAATATGGCAAAGTTTAGAAATAGGTAGTATGCATGCACAATAGTACAACAAAAATCTTTTATAAAACAGCAGTTATTTTTGTAATGTTTGTACAAAGGGAATAAAGAGCAACCACAAACATATTTAATCTGTTAGGTTAATATATATTATGATAGCTAAAAGTCAGTCATGTCTAGCAGAGGAAGGAAGGGTCCTCCACAGTATATGTGTGAATAAGTCTTTTGTGCCTTTAAAGTTATGTATAAAATATTTCGATTCAGTTCAAACCTGAAAGAAATTGTATTCTTTATTTCCATCAAAATTAAAAAAGGTGAGTCAGATTTTTCCTCTTAACAACAACAGAAAGCAGACCAGGTCAGAGCAAGTGCTGGAAACTGATACTGATGCTTTTTTACTTTCGATAATTGGATTTTGATGTTCAACCCAGACTATTGAAACTCGGGCTTAGGTAAGGTTTCACTAATATGCAATTTGGTTAAGTTTTACCTCTGCAATATCACAGTTTTATCCTCATTTAAAGAAACTGCTGTGTTTTGTATTCTTTAATATCTCTAAACAGGTGTGACTTTTTTGTGATTGTCAAAACTGAATGCTGTGATCATCTGTGTGTGCTTAAGGTTTGGGGTTTGTTTTTTTTTTTCCCTACTGCTTGGTTTGTGTTGGGGAATTATTAATCCATAAGTAATGCATGTGATTAAGTGAATAAACATATAATGAATGTGTAGGCAATGCCCTCTTGTGCTCTAGGGTGGCTACTGTCCTACAGGACTGTTGGAGTTTATACGCTTTGTCCCACAGCAAGTAAGGTTTCAGCTTCCAAGATATATCGTTACTATGTTCTATAAGGTTTTAATAAATACAAAGCTTGTTTACATGGTATATATGTTTAGTATATCATGTACAGTCACTGAATTTCTGAAACATAATCATTGTGTTCATGCAGATCATTAGATGTTCCATTTCTATAGCCTTGTTTACTTCTTGGCAACCTAAAGCTAATTTAAAAGCAAGTTATGTTTGTTTGTGAAAAGTTATCTAGCTTTATCAGGATCTGAAGAGAAATTCTAATGGGCACAAAGAAGAGAGTACACCATTCAATCATTCTTTCACCATTTAAAATAAACAAAATTACACACTGTACTACAGCTTCCAGACTACATAATGAAAAAGTGCAGATACCATCTTCATCGATTAAGTAGAACCAAAAAAGTTCATAGAAAATAGATTGCTCATTTCCACGCTACAAACGAATATGTTGTTTGCAATTTTAACAAATTTAAAGGTGTGTTATTTCAGCAGCATTGTTGTAAATTGTACTGTAGTGCAGTTTCTTTTTCATAAAAATACCTTACAAATGGTCAGTCAAAAGTCATCAGCAAAAGAAAAACCCAGAAAACAATCAACCAAACAAAAAACAGAGGTAATGCTGATGTCAAAACAATTATAATACTGTTGGTACATAGAAAAGTAATCCTCATATTTTATACATTTATACAGAGTATAAAAGGTAACAACAGATTATGCCACAGTCTCCCTTATCCCAATATCTATTTTCTTTGGAAGGAGTTCTCTTCTTTCATCAACACTTGCTAAGGAGTTTCGACAGTTTTGTCCATCCATGTATAACTTTGCATATACTGGATTGGCGTAATTTGTTGGCTGCAGAGAAATTAAGTGTACATTAGATCAGTCGGATTAAACCAAAATAAACGGTTATGGAAATGGAAATGGTTTAGTTAAAGCAAGAACAAGTACACATAAAATATAGTTGGACATATTTAATAGATACCTGGACTTCTGAAAACCTGATAATGAGTTAATTATTTAGTTAAAAATTAAATTCATGATGAGACATGCTATTAAAATAATCAATGGCATGACATGCAGCATATTATGATATTAAAACCATAAAAACAATGACAACAATTAAAACAAAAACCTTGAAAAATGTCTCTGAAGTTGACTTGTCCACCTTATTACACTGGAAGATTTCAGAATAGATATGAACAAGTTTATAGAGAAGGTGCACTGTGAGACCATGTGACAAGTTCAACAGTAGAAAACTGCAACCAAGTTTCCATATATTACCTGTTCTAAGACATCAGCATCCCATCAATAGCTGACCATGTTTTCGAATTCTGTGGCCCAAATATACAACATGATTTGACCAAAAATTCAATACTTTCGTAATGTAAATTAAACTTTAATAATAAATCAGCATAAATGTTAATATATCATAGTAGATACAGATTGAGAAGTATTTTCTCAACAATTTTGGTAGTTTGGACTGTAATGAAAAAGATCTATTGAAACGAGTGTTACTTCAGTATAGGACAAGTCCATTTTTAATCCTGCAAAGCACTTCAGTATATGAGATCTGCGTCTGACAGCACAGAAGGATGTATAACATGGATGAAAATTTTCCTATCACTCATGCTAAGGTGAAAGCATTAGCCAAAGTTTATCTCTGCTAATTCCTCCATACTTTTTGCCTTTGTTGTCTCCTAGAAGACCTTGGCTGTACAACTCGATGTTCAGCTTTTTACCTACAATAACTGGAAAGGGTATGTTGTGGTCAAAATCTTCCTCTTTCTTATAGCTAATGAAACAGCATTACACAATGCTTACACAAATACTGAGTGGAACACCAGTAAGCTATAAAATAGGTAAATTAATTTGTTTGGTGCACATAAGCAGTAGCTAAGCTTTAAATTACCCAAAGCAGAAGTGGGTAGGCTTTCTTCACTTGCAAATATCCTGAGTACACCCTGGGTGAGAAGGAATGAAAGATGTCTAGAATCTTAGTTCTTCCTTTCCCTCTCGATCAATGCCATTTCTGAGCCCAGGACTCACATATTCCTTAGGCTGGCTAGCACAACATCTACTGATTTAGTTAGTTAAAAGCTGCCTGTTCCACCTGTTACAGATGACAAAGTGATTGCCTGGTCTTTCACACTTCCCTGGAATGGAGGCAGAAAAAGGTGAGTCACATTTATTTAAAAAAAAGAAAGAAGTAGCTACTCTTCTATACTAATGAAACATAAATATACAATCAACTGCCGTTACAATTTATGAGAGCAAATTCTCACTTGTACCTGTCTGTCCCCATTGAATTTGAGATCTTTACGTTTGTTGTAATGATTATAATCAGAAATTTAGGAAAACAGAAATTCAGTTTTATTTCAATGAACAGAACTTTTTGTTTCATTGACAATCGTTATTAAGGATGCTAATCACAAACAGAACAGACACTTGGCATCTGTATAGTGCCTTATGGAGTTATCAAAATTATATATAAGAGTAGGCTCTGTCTCACGATCCCTCTTTGAGTAGCTACTGATAGCATAATGCAGTACAGTGAGGTACAGAAAGTAACTGGAGTGACTTGAATAACAGAAAAAGTTAGAGATGGGCATATAGTCTAGCTTTCACCATCCATGGTTTTGTGCTCCATCAGAAATATCATACCCTATACGAATTGTTAAACCCCCCAACACGACATACTACAATCATGCAAGAATGCGAATGGCACAAAAGATGAATAGATATACTGAGGCACATGAACATGAATGTCATACTGATGTCCCTTTTTAATATTTTAAATTTCAGCGTTTGCAAACATCATGCTAAATTGTAATCAAAATCTGATGTTTTAGAAGTAACTATTTTATGATAAAAAATGGATTGAAAGTTGAACAATCAAAAAATGCATTGCAAATATTAAAGGAAATTGTTCATTTCAGTGTGTATCAAATTAATCTAAAATAAAAGGCCTTGTTTTCATTTATTTGGAAAGTTCTTTCAGTTTGATAAACTTCACTAAATGCCTGTGATGACATGTAAATTACAAATATATCAAAAAACATGGCTGTGAATGCTATGCTAAACTTACACGATGCTATGGAAAAGCATCACATCGCTTACTGGTTTTGCATGCCTTTGCAAAGACACATTTGCAGTTTTAGATCATGTTACAATGATGGGTAGAGATGAACTTTTGTATGCAAATAGCAACCCTTTATTTCAAATAGAAAATGTATTATTTACTGTCACTCTTCTTTCCATGAAAAGAAGTAAATAAAAATTAAAAACAAACAGAAAGTGCCTCTATTAAAGTGACAGACAAACTTTCTTTAGAAAGGGGCAGTGGAATGAAATGGATTTGAATCATCATTTCTCACCCCTGTTGATAGTGGTCCTTTCAAGTCAGAGTTTAGGTAGATTGATGGAGCTGTATGGGGAAGCTTGAATGCAGTGGGCCCTCCCCCTATGTACCTGGCCTGTATAAACAAAAAATTTTAGTTTCTGTGCTAACAGAACATTTTCCATGTGTACTTATCAACACTGTTACATAAACAGTGCATCGATTAAACACATTCTTTTAGAGTGATCTACAGTTAAAAAAAAAAAAAATATCTACTTACAGGTATTCTTCAGCATGAAAAATGCTTGCATTCAATGAGAATAAAATTCAGCATTTTAAAATCATTTTCCATCAAGGATTAGAGCCAGACTTCACAATAAGCATTGGCTCAGTTACTCTTCCTCCAGTGAGTGGCTCCATTTTCAGCTTAGCTCTTGTATCCAGCACACTGACTATGTGATTCAGCGATGACATTCCTAGAGCTAACAGTAATCCGGTTATTGCTTTGTCAGAAATGCCACAGAATGATGGCTGCCCTTTGGTGTATGTCTGATTACGGAGCTCTAGGAAAGATATCGCAGCATTACCCTGTTCATCCCATGTCACATCACTCAGGGAGTTCAATCACTGAAGAGAGTGACAGCACTTTTTACAAGAAAATGATAATACTTACTAGCTTTGTGTAAACATGTAATCTATCTATCCAGCCAGGACCCTGAATTCTTTATGCCTTTGGAAGTTTTCATATACGAAATAAGTTAGCCTCATATGAATGCACACACTCTTTAAAACAAATGGTAAACTGTACAATAATATATTTGCATTCACTACTTGCGACTACACTAAAAGGATAGGTTGCGATTTGGCAACTAAGGCAGATGTGTCTATGACAAAAAACTCATTTTGTAGTTTAGTTCTAACTCTGTTTTGGTAAAATAGAAAACATGACCATCAGAAAGCACCAGACTGCAAAACAGGTGTTGATATATACATGACATTTACTGTAATGACATCTAACTTGCCTTTATATTCATTAACTAAATTTAAATCTCATTGTTTTATGTTGCTATTAATTACATTTAAAGTCAAAACCTTTGTAAGACATAAAATAGGTAGTAGTTTTGCCATTAAGAAAAAGAAAAAAATTACCTTTTCTGCATTTACAGTAAAATCTGAGGCTAAAAGACCACCTTCACTGTGATCATGGCCCACCTCATACATGTTATATGATGGATTGCCAATTTCTACATTGATTCCTCCATTTATAATGGGTTGTCTTCTGATAGTTTTTGTTCTATGAAACATAAACATACACACACAAAAAAGAAGCTAGTGACTTTTCAAGTAATTTCTTGAATGCTTGATCCTGAAATAGTACAAATCTTATTTTATTTCTCTTTAATCGTTAAGACCAACAGGATGAACCAGTATTTCCCGCAGAGACAATCCAAAACCACTTTCATTTTTCAAACAAAGTAGCATTCTGAGTCGATGTGTAGATCTCACATAAGCTGGAAGTAGCTTTTTGTTGTTTTCCTTGGTTTGGCTGTAGCGGTATGAACTTATACAAAGTACTCGCTAGTGGCCTATAACACTGATTTTCTCCTATTATTTCCAGATTCCCCTCACTTCCCAAGGAAAGCCTTGCAAATTCATTGTAGATTCCCTGCAGTAATGAAGATGGAGCAAACATGAGTCATGTCCCCTTGCTCAATCATTTCACCTCCATTTGAAACCAGTTGCCAAAAGTCAGTTGTCATCTGAGGACAAGCAAATGGTTTCATTACAATGCATTAAAAATGAATGAACTTCTCGTAGCACCAGTTTGTATTCCCTGCCAGTGGTTATTGAAAAGTTGAAATTCAACTTGAATTTTTTTTTAAAACTTTAATAAAAAATAGAGTCTTATTTTTAACCTTGAATTAGATATCAGTAAAGACAAGTGATGGAGTTAAATTGTTGTAGTTGCTGAATTAATTTCTTTTAGCTAAGGAGGTGATTTTAGTCTGAGTAACTGAAATAACCTCAAGAGGGTAATTTTTTCCAACACAATTTGTTCTCTAGAATTACAAGGGAATAATAGGGAGGTCACAGTCAGGATGATAACAGTCGTGTCCTCTTGTTTGGTTGAGAAACAGATAGCCAGTGTCTGAAATCCAACACACTAGAGGATCTGTATTTTTCACAAATGGCATAGAAAAATATTTCCTAAAATAAGCACTTATCTGTAGCGCGCAAGTGTTGAACATCTATACCTAGTTGAATACTTGACAGTTGTCTTTGAAGAGGTTAAAAAACCCTAAAATATGTTTTCAAATATAATTTTAAGAAAAAAAAATTCTTTATTTAGATTAGTTCTATTTCTCTACTGAAGATCTATTATTTAACAAGCTATTTCAACAACTTAATTTACAGACCAGCAACTGGTTTTCAGGATTTCGTTATCACTAAACTCAGTTTTTAGGTACAGCATCACATAATAACATCCATAGAGCCTGGCAGGGTCAGAGTTACTAACAGTATGGTCAGGGAATGTATTTATCCTGTTGGCTTTTGAGAAAGGATTAAAAAATTAATGCTTACTAGTTAGCACCGGATTTGCAGGGGAGATGCTATGCATGATGGTAGATTATATTAACTGAAAAGATTCTTTTAGTCTGGAGGACTGAAATAGTCTCATAAATGGTCATATTTGCAGGACCAGTAGAACCATCACAAGGTCCAGAGGGACCTCGACGGGTTGGAGAGGTGGGCCCATGCAAACCTCATGAAGCTCAACAAGGCCAAGTGCAAGGTCCTGCACCTGGGTCAGGGCCATCCCAAGCACAGATACAGGCTGGGTGATGAGTGGATCGAGAGCAGTCCTGGGGAGAAGGACTTGGGGGTGTCGGTGGATGAAGAACTGAATATGAGCCAGCAACGTGCACTTGCAGCCCAGAAAGCCAATCGCATCCTGGGCTGCATCAGGAAAAGTGTGGCCAGCAGCGCCATTGGGGCTCTGGGGCCTAGAGAAGACGAGACTGAGAGGGGACCTTATCA